AATTGGAATTGTTGCATGTGAGGTGTTACGTCGTCTCCGTCGTGTCCGTTTGGTTCACCTGCGACAGCGTCCTGATCACCTCAGCCTTCTGGTTGTCGTTCAGCTTCGATAGGATCTTGAAGACGGTGTCCAGAAGCATGTCAGGGCAATCCTGGGCAAATTTATTTGTTTATTTTTATTTTGTTTCTATCTCGTTTGTTTTTTTTTTATTGACTTACATCTAGTGATTTTTCAATTTGCGTTATGACCGCGTCCTTCTTCACGCAATGCAAATTGTAGGAGAGCATCGACGGATTCGCCAGCTGATCTTCGAGCCATTGCACTATGGTCTCGTTGTTGTCCCATTTGTAACCTTCGGCGGCACCCTTGTCCTCGACGAACCATCTTCTGAGCATGGCTTCTCCTTGTCCGACGCCCAAGTTCGGTTGCGCCGCGAGCAGAGACGTGATGATGCTGTCCTGCAGCAGAAGCCTTCTCATCCTCCAGTACAGAATTGTACGCGACTTTCTCCACGGCACTACGTCCTGTAACGTAACGTAAACAAATTAATTCAATGTATAGTTAATATAGTAATAATTTACAAATGAACTAACCAAGATAACCTCCTTCTCTTGCATCCTCACAGGTGTGTCGTGCATATCGGCGAAATGCACGGCCACTTGATGGTAGATAGGTAGCAAATGGTTCTCGCGCTCCGTGATTTTGCCTTCGATCTCGATAACCTCCGACGATTTTTTCGTCTCCACGGTGACGCTGCTGCGCCTCTCGTGGATATCCAATTGAGGCGGTTGCACGCTCGCCTTCTTCAGCGCCTCGTCCAACTTCTTCAGCTCAACGTCGACGCGGTGCATCGTCTTCAGCAGATCCTTCTTCCTGTACTTGATCTCGACGGTACCCTCTGGCTCCAAGACGCCGCCTCGCGAATCCGGATCGGCGTACATCTCCATGTACCGTGAGTTTATCGACGGATCGACGACGGCCCAAGCTCCACCTCTCAACTCACCGTTGGGCGGGATGTAGATGAGGACAGGTTTAGTGTAAGAGCTGAGACCGTCGACGATGTAAGCGCCGAACTTCATGATCTGCTCGTACATGTCCTTCATGCCGCCGCTGAAGCCGCGCCAATTCGCGAAGATTATCAACGGCAGATCTTCCTTGCCAAAGTCCTGGATAACTTGCGCCGTTTTGTAAGCGGAATCGGGGAACCAGACTTGTCCTGCTTGCGAGACGGTCTTGGCTTCCGAGTCGAGGTTAGCGGGATCTGCGGGCATCGTCAGTTCGACTGTTCTCGTTTCCACGGCTATGACGCCGACGGGGATGCCGCCCAATCGTGCTCTTCCTGTTACCACCGTCTGCGCCCACGGCTCCATGATCTCCGACCACGAGCCCTTGTCGAAGAATCCGCTCTCCCATTCCTCCAGGTTGTTGGGGTTCTGGCGACCGGCCAGCATCCAGCGCGGATCGTACGGCGCCTTCGTCGGAATGAAATCGATCTCGCGATCGATCGTGTCCACCGGTTTGATGATCGGCACCGGCGACATCTTGTCTTTGGGAATGTAGGATAACCATTTGAGGATGGTGAAGATGCCCTCCAGATCGCTCTGATCCGTCTTGTGACTGATGCCGTTGTTGTGCATGATCTGAATACCACCAAGCTGATTGTTCGACGCGTACACTTCGCGACCCAGGAGTTTGTTGAGTGCGGCGTAACCGGTGAGGATGATGTGAGAGTTCTCGATCTGGATGACCCTCTGTCCGAGACGCACCAGGTACGAACCAATACCGATAGCTCTGCACGAAACCATAGAAATCGTGACGACTTCTTTGTAGGCTTTCGACGTTTCTCCGGCGATCATACCGGCCCATCGCAGATTCTCCACTCCCAAACCTTCACCTTTGCCTGAACGACGGAATCAATTTTAATATCAGTTAATCGTGATGGTTAACAGTATATTTACCGATGACATCTGTGATTTTGTATCTGGATTCGCCCTCGTCTTCGATGAGAACGGCGCGCACCGAATTCAACGAACTGACCTTGGCGTAGTCTTCAGGTGTTAAATAGAGATACCTGAAACCATGATCAGGTTCTTTGGGATCTTCCCAAGCGACTTTGAAAAGGCACTTCACTTCTTCGGCAAGTCCAATGCGGGCTCCACTGTTAGCAGCAATGTATATCTATTGAAATACACGACAATAATTATCTGGATTTTTAGAAAAAGAAATGTTATTGATAACACTCACTCTTGGTATTTTCAATTCCCTAGAAAGTTCGCTAGCCAAGTAGAAGACCTTGTCTTCTCTAGGTCCGAACGATCCAATCAAGAAGGTGATGTCGTTGGCGATGACGATGATGTCCCTACCTTCCGGATATTCCGGAGTGTAGAGAGTCAAACGCCATGCAACCATACCAACGTTGTTCTCTCCGGGTACGCGTTTCTGCTCGTACAACCTCGTCTCCGTTTCAGCATCCAACACCAACTCTATGCAGTCCATCTGCTTCTCCGGGATGGCTATCACCTCGGACATCCTCTCCTGGCTGTACTTCTTCCACTGCAGATCGACCATCTGCCTGAACATGTCTGGATAATCGTACACGTACGTGGTGCCGGCAGATTGCGCCTGGAACCTCTTCTGCTGAAGATAGTCTTTGGCCAAGTACGGAGTGGAGATGGCTAGACCGTGCATCGAGCCCTGCTTCAATCCGTAAGCTTCGAAACGGATCTATATTTAACAAAATCAAATAAACAAATTTCGTAATTTTGATTGTGAAACACGTACAGTTCCCGTATCCGGATCGACGACTTCAGTGTACATGCTGATGTCCAGATAGTAACCGCTATCGTTGGCGATGCACAGGCGAACTGTGGTGGTCGAAGCGTTAGGTGCTGACCTGATGGTCATCTTCAGCTCTGCTTGCAGCACGCGTAACTTCCAAAGGCGCGGTCCGTAACGCATCACCATGTTCGTAACAGCTTCTTCAATCTATCAACAACAGCAATCAAATATAATGTATGTATGCATTGAATGTGATGGGGTTTACCTTAGCTGGATCCATGATGACCGTCGGTATGAAGTTCAGGAAGATGTGATTGCAATCAGTACGTCGAGATTGCGGATGCGAGAACGCAACCTCCAGTTCGTCCATCGCCTCCAGGAGGACCCGTTCTCCCTCGTTCTGCAGGTACTCGAACGACGCCTCCTTGGTGATCAGATCCGAATGTCTGATGATGGAGCGGATGAAGAAACGATAGTCAGTAACATCCAATCCCGGTGCGACTTTGGCTTTACCCAAATACAGGTGCATCTTCTGATTGGAAGTGGGCAGCGCTTCCAGATTGTAACTGCGCATACGGTTCAGTTCCAATTGGAAGGCGCACGCCGGTTCCAGATGCCTGTAGATACGATCCTCCTTGAAATCGTCCCGCGATCTGTACGTGAAGAACTTCGGAAACTGTTTGTTCTTGAGCGCCGCAAAAGTGATGCGACGAATTCCCCTGTTCTCGAGCTCCTCCTTGTGCCGCAAACAGAACGACCCAAAGATCTTGCTCATCGTGGAATCGTCGGCATCACCTCTATCCTTGACGCCGATGTGCAGAATGTGGATTGGCTCTTGCAGACTATCGTCCTCCGGTATCTGTCGCTGTCCATCCAAACTGAGACTCACGTTGATGCTGGTGGAATCCGCGCGGGATTCGCTTCCGCTCTCGAGAACCTGCATATCTTTGACGCAGACCGAAGCGGGGCTGGAGAAATCGGCGATCAGATCGAAGATTTCGTCGGCGTACGTTTCGAACTGCTGGAAGCTCTCGAAAGCGGACATGCAGCCGGTCCGCTGGAACGAGTCGTAGATTTTGACCGTTTCGCCGTCCTCTTTGATGCAATCCAATTTTATCAGACGGTTCGGATGGCTGGGCGGCAACAGGAATTGGAAATGCACCAAGGGGACTTCACCGCTCAGCTCGACGTGCTGAAGGCAAGTTATGTCGTAACTGGTGTACGCTCTCCTCACGTAAACCTCCAATGCAGCGTTGCAGACGGCGCGATTGGTGTGGTAGAAGAAGTCGTGCAGAATGTCGAAGATGGATGTTTCGGAAACGATGAGCTTCTGCAGATTCTCCGGATGGAATTCGTGACCGTACATGTCGACTGCTGATAAGAAGATGCTCTCCATCTGGTTGTGTCTCAACTCGTAAGCCGGTTGATGGGCGGCGATCAGCACTTGTCTGGCTCTTAAAGCGACGCGGGAATGTTCGCTTCTATTTAATGTCGTCAGCTCGTTCAAAGAGGCGGCCAATTCATCGGTCAGACCCGGTTCGTTGGACCACAGATGATCTATGAGCATCGTCACCAGCATGTTCTTCTTCGCCACCTGTCCGTGCGAGAAGATCGTAGCGGTCACGGCAGCCATATCGTCCTTGTTCTTATCCCTGAGCACGCTCACGCACTTGTCGTAGTGACCCAACTGGAATTGACTCTCCACCAGGTAGTAGTGTTTGAGCAGATCGTGAACGGCGGCCTTCATCCTACCGCGAATCCCGTTTCGATACCGCTGCACCAGCTGTACTATACCTTCGGTGGCCAAGAAGAAACCGTCGCGTTCGGTGCGTTTCTGCATGCTCGCCGCGTGACTGTCGATGACGCTGGCGATTTGCTGACTCGGGAATTGCGCCAAAACCGACGTGATGTTCCTCTCGTACAGCGCCATCAGTTTCCTGATTTTCTTCTCGACGGCGGCTGGGATACGACCGGAAATACTCGCAATCACTTCCTGCATCTCCAAGAGCGGCAAACTGGGATCGCGCAGAGAGGACATGAATTTCTCGATGACCTCCCTCAGACGCGGCGCATTGTACGGTTCCGGCAAACAGAAACCTGCTAGATGATTCTCCAGTATCGACTTGTAGCTGTTGTGGATGTGATTGAGTTTATCGGAAGCAACGGGATGCGAGACGTCCAGCTCGGGGAACGGCCCTTTGTACAGTTGCGCCTTCGCCACCAAACATGGATCGTCCAATTCGATTGTAGCGATTATCGATCCTGGTTCCATCACTGCGCCCGGTCGTTTCGCGTAATACAACAGACCGGATTCGGTCGACGTCAACGTCATGACCATCTTCATCACTTCGATTTCGGCGTACGCCTGACCTCTGAAAATGTGCGTTCCATCGTCCACCAAGAAGCTGATGAGTTTACCGGCTGACGGTGATCGCAGCAGAGTCGGATCGTTCTCCTTCTCGAAGACGCACGTCTGATTTCCGATGACTATTCTGTAGTGATCCACCTCCTCCTTCATGTATGTCGTGAAGGATGATCCATCGACCGAGAGCAGGATGCCTCCATCGCTGAGACGGTGAATCTCGATCTCCTTGAAGGAGCCGTTCATGACTAGGAAATAGGAATTGGCGCCGCTCTTGGTCGCTTGTATTTTGTACTTGGAGCCGTCGTTTATGAGCTCGACGTCCACCACGTTGTTCAGAGTGTTCGAGCCTTGCACTTGTCCACGCTCCAGCGAGTTCTGGAACTCCTGGAAGGAGGTGGAGATCGTCTTGTCGGCGATATGCAAAGATCCGCACATCACGCCCAACATTATATCGGGCTTCTCCGATTGCATTCTCTCTGAAATCAGGATGTCCAACCACGCCGTGTCTATGGTATTCTCCTGGAAACTCTTCGTCTCGAGAAGAGTGATCAGATATTCTACGGTGGTCCTGAAATCGCCGCGAATGCTCAACTCTTTCAGAGCTATAACGAGATTTTCGCGCGCTTGCTCACGGTTCTCTCCCCACGAGAAGCAATGACCGAACTGGGAATCGGCGAACTCGTGGAGACCACCGGAAGCGGCGACTGAGAAGTAACCCCAGACGTTCTTCGAGGAACGGAAATTCAACTCTTGCACCGTCCCTGAGCTCGGTTTGAAGCCTTCGTCGGGATTCTCCGAGGTGATCCTAGCGGCAATCACGTGTCCCCACGGTTGCGGTTTATGCTTCGGCTGATCGAAATCGATCTCCGTCATTCCCCACGGCGATTCACCGTAAAGCAGACGGATGTCCTTGATGTAGTGCAGAGGCAAACCCATGGCGATTTGCAATTGTGCCGCCGGTAAGTTCACGTCGGACACCATCTCCGTGCAGGGATGCTCCACCTGCAGACGCGGATTCAACTCGAGGAAGTAATACTGCCCGGACGTGTCGTACAGGTATTCCACAGTTCCGGCGGAAACGTAACCGACCATCTTTGCTAATCTCACGGCAGCCTTCTCCATGTCTTCGAACACGGAAGGTTCGGCGATCACAGCTGGAGCTTCTTCGATGATCTTCTGATGTCTCCTCTGGATGGAACAATCACGTCCGAACAGCGAAATCGCGTTTCCGTACTGATCGGCTAAAAGTTGCACCTCCAAATGGCGAGCGCACTTGGCGAGCTTCATCACGAAGATCGGTGATCCGGGCACCTCGGCTTGCACCTGCCTGAAAGCTTGCGCGAAGTCTTCGGCGTTGTCCACCTTCCTGATGCCTTTGCCGCCGCCTCCTTCCGAAGCTTTAATCATCACAGGGAAACCGATCTTCTGCGCCGCCATCAGACCTTCCTCCGCAGAATGCACGCAACCTCTGGCGAACAGTTCCGACGAGATCTTGATCTTTTTGCCGCTGTATTGAGCTTTCAGCTCTGATCCGGACCACGGAAGGGTCGGGATTTCGGCGGTCTGCGCGACGATCGACGAAGCGATTTTATCTCCGAGTGCCCACATGGCTTTCTCCGGTGGACCGATGAAGGCGATGTTGTTCTTGTGAAGAAGTTCCGGGAGTTTCGGGTTCTCTGAGGCGTGACCCCAGCCGGCCCAGACGGCTTGCACCTGCTGCCTTATGGCTATGTCGATGATCAGCTCGACGTTCGCGTAGTTGTTGTTGTTCGTTCCACCCGGAACCGGAACGTAATGATCCGCCATCTTTATGTATTCGGCGTTCGCCTTCAGATCTTCAGGAGTCACCATCACCACGAATCTCACGGCCCTCTCGTTCTTGAACATCTCGTACGACCATCTGCGGACGGAACGCATGCATTTCACAGCTGCAATTCCATTGTTGGCGATCAAAACCTAAAGATCATCAAACATTTACAATTTACACTAAATAATTAATGATGAAAAGTGACATATGCATCTACTTGACACTTTACTTAACAAATGCAATTCTCTCTCTCTGTCTTTACCTTGTTGATGACTTTGGTGCCGTTGAATCGCTTCACGAAAACCTCCGGCGTCGCGACGATGAAATCCTTCTCCTGCATCCTGTTGTGAAGCATGACCGTGCCCTGAGACATGCTCGGCCTGAAATTACAGTTTGCACAAACGAAATTAGTTTTTGACGTTTCATACTTAATCTATCTGATACAGCTGATTTGATTTATTTTTGTTTTGTTGTTTTGTTTTCAGACTTAAAATGCAAATCACCGCAGCAGCCGCCTTTGATACATATATATATATATAATCAAGCATCCATTGTTTTATAAACACAAAGTAGCGCGTGCAAAACAAAATCAATTAAGCAGTCAAGTCAACTAGATTATTTCTAAACGAAAAAAATAAAACTATAAAAAAATTTATATAGTAATATAATTTTTCATTGCTTTTACCTTCAACTTTAAATACTAATTAATTTTTTTTTTATGAAGACGGCTTAAAAATTAAACATAAACCTGAGGTTTTCTCTCAACCATGTAAAATGAGTACACATTTTAAAGCATTTCGAACATAATATGTAGTTGTTTGTACAGAGTAAATACATTTACTTATTATTATTGCAAAGTTATTTGAACAATTCTGTACACTAAAATGTGCTTATTATGTAATTACATAGAAATGCAACTGCTGTTTGCTAAATGTGCACATTTCAGTAAATTGAAATATGAAATTATAAAATTATGATTTTTAATTTTTCTTATAATATAAAATTGTCAATTTCGCCATAATTTTAATCATTGATAAACGCATTTGCA